TTAAAGTCAATGTGATTTTAATGGAAAGAAAAACTTTAAAATCTCCTGAATGGAAAAATACCTACAGCCATCCTGGCAAGATTTGCTGTACTTGGTTGTGAACATAAAAAAAATAAAAAAAGAATTACGGTTGATTTATGACAAAGATGAATAAAAACAACCACATACATAAGATACATATTTTAAGTTTTACAGATTATACTTAAATTTACAGTAAAAAAAAAACCCATACATTTAACAAAACTAAAACAATAATGTTAATATATTAAATAACTGGATTCTGTTTAACTTAATATACTGACAATCATCTTAAATACACATGTGGTACAGAGAAAGCCACACGATGAACCAAAGTTCATCACAAATCCACAAACTGAGCTGAATACTAGGAAAATAGAAGTTGCACAGTGTCATACACAGAAAAAAAACACCATCACTGTAACACAATTGAAACTAAAATAATGAAATATACAACATTTTACAACATAAGATAAAACCCTAATGTATTTAACTGATAAGATAAAAAAACTAAAAAGAAACTTATTTCAATGTCCAATCCTGCTCCTGAAGGGCCAGTGTCCTGGAGAGTTTAGTTCCAACCACAATTAAACGCACCTATAACAGTTAATAATCAAGGGCTGAGTCCGAAATCGCCCCTATACCCTTAAACAGGGCATTACATGAGGAGACAGCCATTTGTAGTGGTGTACGAAATCATAGTGGACATTATCGAGTGCACTCATTCAATCCCACAATGCACCGCAATACAATCGATGTACGCTCAACGGCTAGAGAATACCCACAATGCACTATGAGAGTCGCGTGCTGAATGAATTTCCATGTCTCACCAGAAGATGGCGCTGCAGCTGAAGCATCCATCCATCAATACATTTTCCAAACCGCTGGTCCAATGTGGTTACAGCGTAATATCATACAGGTGTAATATATAAGGTTCATGTTTAATTAAGGTTTGTACATAGTTTACATGACAAACAGAGTTGCCAGTTTGCTATGGTTTAAGTTATTATTAAACAGCAAGCACAAACTATGGAAAAGCAGCAGCCCTTCTGGCGCACTCAGTGTTCACTCACCCCGTTTCATTCACTCCCTCAAGTGAACTATATTATTGGACTAACGTAGGGAATAGCCAATGAGGGTATAGAGGGTGATTTCGGACACAGACACAGTCTTGGTAGGCAGACTAGAAACTTCCAGGCCGGTGTGTTGAGGCAAGCTGGAGCTAAACTCTGCAGGACAGCGGCCTTATACATGACTGAGTTCGATCACCACTGATATAAAGGAAATTAAAGAGATTGTTCACTCAAAAATTAAAATTCATTCAGTCATCATTTACTCTCCTTTATGTTGTTCCAAACCTGTATGAGTTTCTTTCTTCCGTTGAACACAAAAGAAGATATTTTGAAGAATGTTGGTAAACAGACAGTTGACGGTAGTCATTTACTTCCATTATAAGAAAAGAAATACTACGAAAGTCAATGCCTACCGTCAACTGTCTGGTTCCCACATTTATCATCTTTATCGACTTGTTACCCATTTCACATGCAAAGAGGTTGGCCAATCACAAAACAGGTCATTTGTATAAAGAAACTGCTTGTGAATTCTTCAAATGTGTAGATAATCAAGCCTTTGTGGAAGGCTGTTTTTGTTATTGAATGCCAGCAGGAAATGCACAGCCTGAAGCGCAGTACCAAATTAGGCAACTCTTGCTTCAAAGCCCTAATTTATTCATGAACTTGATGCTTTAAGAGGTCAATTAAAGTCTCAGTAAAAGTGAATTTAATGGAATGAAACTCCATAAAATCTACTGAAAACACCTACAGGCATCCTGGCAATTTTGGCTACATTGACTTGTAAAACACTATGCTTGAAAGAGAATGACGGTTAGTTTATGACAAATAATAAGAACATACCTAAGATTAATATTTAAAAGGTTAAGGCTGATTCAGGTCTGGAAGCATACAGATCTAGGCGTCTGAAACAAGTAGAACTAGGACATAAAAGCAGAAGGTACTCAGCCGTCCTTGAATAATGTTTTGTAAGATGCGCCGTAATGGAGGCAGAAAGGCCAATGCTTTTGTCTTGTTTTGTGATTCTGCAGATTTATGATTCAGTTAAGACACCTCGCCTTCTGTGTCTGCCAGGAATCCATTTCCTTCATTGAAATTCTTGCACTAACCTTAGTCATGTAGTGCCATGTTTTTGTGTGAAAGTGCAATTCTCTAATACAAGTGAATGGTCGAATGACAAAGGAGGAAGAGTGAGAAAGAATACAACATTGATGAAGAAAACGTACCTGGAGAAGACGCGGCTATGTCAGCCAGACCTCCAGCAAGAAGTTGTAACGTGATAAGAAAGAGAGAACTGTTTTACACCCAAGTAATCCTTCAATATATTGATAAATCTGTTATGCCCACAACATGACTGCAGTCTTACGGAAACATAGAGGCCTGAGTATCACCAATGTGAATCACAAAAAGAAGCTGATAAATATGTTGGCCTTTCTAAAATATTAAAAAAGGAGGATATTTTTTAACAACTCAAGTGCATCTGTATAGCGCATTTCACAATAAATATTCACAGAATATAGTAAACAGTTTTAATATTTCAATTATTTTTTCTTTTCCTACACCCCCCCCCCCCCCCCCCCCTCCCTGCCCATTTTTGATCAACAAAGAATTTATTACTTAAATATAGTTTAAATAATCGAATTACACATCAATATTTTTAATGTATAATCCAATGTGTAAATATATCTTTTTTTCTCTTATTACAACAGCATTTCATATTTATATATTGTATTATTATTATTATTCAACAGTGGTTCACATTTAGTAGTTTCAACAGACCAAAAAAAACAATTAACACCGGCACACTTTACATTCACATTTACATGTTTATTTTCCACCCCTTTCTTTGTTTATTGGTTTTGACAAAAATAGAAGGTGCACATGAACCCATTACTGTTCTAACACTGGGCTGAGGGTGTTTGCTACAGAGACCAATGAGGTTCCAACTCTGGGGATAAACATGGTCATAAATATTGTTTTTTTCTCTGAACAAAAACAGCACATAAAAGGAATCTTTGATTTTTGCACAACAACACAAGTCAAACACTACCCGCGGGGCAAAGACCTCTACTGAGAACTACAAGATGAAGCATTAGGATTGCATAGGTTAACATGAGAGTCTGCGAACGGCTGTACAGAGGAGAGGCGAGGATATAGAAATCTCAGAAATCCACACTGCCAACAACAAACATCAGTAACGGAGACCCAGCAGCATCTCTTTTCCTCTGCAAGAGCATCATTGATGTGCAGTGCTATTCTGTGGTTTTTCACCAATGCCTCCAACAAAATGCCTCATAAAACATCCCAAACTTGAAGAATTGGGTTTTTTTTGTTTCATTACTGCACTTTAGGGATGGGCGGTATGACTAATATCGTATATCTCAGTGTTATATAACGGCATATAACTATGTTTATTAGATGGAAATCCAAAAAAAAAGTTGTGTATGTGCATATATACTGTCTATATATACTTTTGGTAATGTTTGTTTTTAAACCGGTTAAATACAAAAGAATAGGTACTACATTTGATCTCATTAAAATAAGATTTGTAACGCAAGGTTCACACACACACAAATTTGGGGTCAGTAAGATTTTCCTTTTTTGAAAGAAATTAATACTTTTATTCACCAAAAATCCATTAAATTATAATGTTACATACTTTCTATTTCAAATAAATACTGTTATTTTATTAAGCAGCACAACCGTTTTCAACATTGATAATAAAAAATACTTCTTTTCTTGACCAACAAATCGCAATGAAACAGGAATAAATTATAGTTTAAAATATATTCAAATAGAAAACGATATTTTCAAATTGTAATGATGTTTCACAATATTACGGTTTTAACTGTATTTTGGATTAAATAAATGCAGCCTAAGTGAGCATAAGAGACTTCTTTCAAAAACATTTAAAAAGACAACACTTCACAATAAGGTCTCATTAGTTAACGCATTAGTTAACACAATCTACCAATGAGCAATATATTTTTACAATCTTTGCTAATGTAAGCTAATAAAAATGTTCACAGAACATTAACTAATGTTAACATGTACAACTTTTGATTTTTATAATGTATTTGTAAATGTAGACATTAACAGATTAATACATTTTGTATAAGTATTGTTCATTGTTAGTTGAATAACTAATGTTAACCAATGAAACCTTATTGTAATAAAGTGGTACAAAAAAATCTTACCAACAATTAATTAATTAATATATATATATATATATATATATATATATATATATATACACACACACACACACACACACACACACATGCATGTATGTATGTATACAGGTATGTGTGTGTGTGTATATATATATATATATACACACACACACACACACTTACATACATACAAAAATACATACACACACACACCTAGCATCAAATGTAGAAGAAAAAAAAAAACCTTAACATTCTGTAAGTAAAAAAAAAACTAAAAAGATTCAAAATAGTAAAATTAAACCAGAAACATTCCGGTCAGATAAGCCACATTTGACAGCATGGGAAAAGCTGTTAATATATTATAGCCGTGCAAATATATCTACAGTTATATAAACCGCATAGCAAAATCTCTATCAGACCGCCCAGCCCTTCTGCAGTCGCTCTTATGCGTCTTGTGAAATGACAACCACCGTCTCAAACCCATTTCAATGTCATTTACAGATTCCGCAATGTCAAAAAGCTGATATTGTTTTTTATGATTACAGAACGTTCAATTCTACAGCATTTCTCACTGATCGGGATTCTGCTCTTCGTACAGCATTACGAGCATTTCCCCTGCTCTCAATCAGGTACTTCAACGTCTAAAGACTCAGTGAATGAGGAGAACCTGTGCTTGAATCCGAGGTGCCTGCTGCGGGTCCTTAAACCATGTCAAAGACAAAACCACCTCAACACTTCCAACAACTAAGACTAGCTATTTATTTACCTCACGTCCACACATACACGCACACATACGTACAGTACTGATATGAAGATTGGCCACAGACATGTCTTAACTTCATATTCATAATAGCTGCCATGCTTCGATATGCGTTTGATTCATAAGAACTGTGCAAGAAAGCATGGCATCGGGCGGTAGTTCGGAGGAGGAAATGGTATACGTACAGCGTTGAGGATTTTCCTCGAGACTACAACCTGTTTTTGTTGATAAATGTCTTCAGAATAAAAGGCAATGAAAACCGAAAAACAAATCCAGCCGATTTGCTCGCAAATGGCGTCAAACCATGTCACGATGCCTCGAGATTGTCCTCTTTTCTTAATTGACTTTGTTCAGCGATGGCCGTTGAAGATGAAACCGACAAATTTACATTCGCAAACACGTCTCAACACACAGAACAAAGAGATAAAAGTTTCCTCTTAAATAGGTTTCATATACACATATCTGCATTTATATATGGATACTTGATTCATACATTCATTCTCTAACACTCTATTCATATTCACATATAATTTTAATCTTATATGAAATAGTTCTTTTTAAATGATTCTCCATGTATATTATGGGGTGAGACAGGGATCTCTGAAGGAATGGCTGGACATTTGGACCAGATGCTTTATACACAGGAAGAACAAATCACTTTCGAGGGCGGGAGAGTCGAATACTGCAGATATACATCAATTTACATAGCTTCGAGCCAACGTACAACATCAATAGAGCTATTTACAAAGAAATAACAGAGAAATGATGGTCTGGAGGTCATGAGATGGTGAAAACGGGTACCACTGATGGCAATGAGGAGTTTCTGGTCAGCTTTACACGAAGTGTTAAGATCTGTTCGTACCCTGCGCTCAGTCTGGATGAAGATAAATTCTTACAAGCTGTGTTTGCCTACCTGCAGATCTGTAAACATCCAGCTAAAATATTCCTGTCTGTAAACATTTGGTTCGCTTGTACTAAAACCCATGTGTGTTTAATCTGGAGACGAGCTTCCTGAGTGCCATTGAATACACAGATAAAGACCGAAGAGAAGAAGGATTGGGCAAACATCTGATGTTTGAAGCTTGCACTCTTGAATGCGAGGCAGATGAAATGCGTGTCCAAAGGAAGCACAGATATGGATGCCAGAGGAAATCGGATTTTGAGCCTGTGGAAAAAGGTCGCACTAGACTCGAATGAAAAAAGTTGAACGTAAACTCATCGGGGAGAGAAATGGCATGGTGCAGGGTAGGAATGTTGAGTTCGTCAAATCAAATGAGCGATGGTGCTGATGACGACAAGAACTGAAGGAATAAAGTGAAAGGGAAAGAACTTAAAACGTAAGATGTGACGAGCAGGAAGAATGGAAAGATGAAGGACTGATTAAACAAGGAAATGGACCATGATAGAGGGTGGAGGATAGGACAAATGATAGCAGGAGGGATTCATGGTTAAAGGCAGAAGACTACAGCGGTTGACGTCATCTTCAGCACAGCAGGAGTTATCTGTAGGGTCTAGAGGTCGATGAGCTGGTCCACCAACAGCAGGGAACGGGCCAGGTTGGGCAGGCTGGACTCAGAACTGCCACTGTTACTGCGAGAGTGACCTCCTAAAAGAGGCCAGATGGACAGGGAGGTTAGGGGAGGAGGAAAGGGAGGACAGTCAAATCGAGACAAAGAGAGACCAAGGAAGGGGACAGCAGAAGAGAGAGGGAGAGAAAGACACAAAGGTAAGTAGATGTTCACGAAAAGTCAAGAGAGGAGGTTGGGAATCGAGACCTTGGGAACTGATTTCTTTTAAACAAACTATAAACTAACTATAGATGATATCTCACTCAGTTAAAGATCCCAAAAAACTCATGAAACATGAGGTTCATTTGTTCATTTTTAGTAGTACCTCACAGTGTTTCCTGCACCACTACTGAATCTACAAGTTAAGGGGAAAAAAACGGAAGCTTGTCTCAGTGTTGTTGTTATTAACGAAATCGATTCAATCGTTTTTGGTTATAGAAATAGCTGAAATAGAAGAAATAAGTATTGGATACAAATAACTTAAATGAAAATTAGGCACATTGCCTTGGCTGGCAACTATCTGAAACAAATAAGTTTAAGTACTAAAATTGAAATAAAGAAAATGAAAGCAACATGGAAATATTTAATAAGAATTAAAGACTGAATAAGAATAAAAACTGGGGAAAAAAGCTAATTCAACATAAATACTACAATAATATAGAAATGATACTAAAAAACTGGCTTGTCTGCATTGATACTGATAAAAACAAAGAACACAAAATGCATATTCCTTTTTCAAAGTCCTTTTGTCATGCCATGTGAACTTTGAACTAGTTACACTATTATGCATGCATGAGGCTTAAAAATCTGTGAATTGTTCTGTGATCTGTGATTGGTGTTTCAAATGGCAATGCAGAGTTGAAGATATTTATCTTATAAGATATTATAATGAATTGTAAAGTGTAAAGAATTTCTATTCGATTCCCATCCCAAGCCATATGAGTGCAAAATAGCTCATCTGCCTTGAACAAAACATCTCAATTCGGAATTTTCGCAACTGCCAAAAATAAAAAACTTGAGCAAAATATAGTTCACACACACACACACATATATGTACTAGCTGCTTGCTTTCATTACAATGAGAGTGAGAAGGGTCATTCCGTGTCAAATCAAACCAATTTCAGAAACTTCCCTGGCTTTCTGTACAAAGACAAACATAACAGTGATGATAAATATTTATGCCAAAATAAAAATAGTAAATGTCACTAACTAAGTGATCCACTATTTTGTAGAGGGGGGTAAAAATGACCATTTTTACCTGAGATTTGAAGCCAATTTACAGGGGTGTAAAAATGACTTTAGAAAGATGACAGCATCATTATTTTATTTTTACAGGGTTTGGTAGGTTTATTAGTAAATTATATTGACTTAACTTTAGCAATCTTTATATCATTAAATGCCAACGCTGATTCAAAAATGGCAAAACGCACTTCTTGTGTTATTTTGCCTCAAGTTTGCATGCCTAAGGATATTAAGATATCTTTAATACTTCTTGAGTTACAGGCATGCAAACTTGAGGCAAAAAAAGATTGCTAAAGTCAGCAGATTTTACTAATAGACTTACAAAGCCCTTTAAAAAAAGAAATGCTGCTGCCATCTTTCTTAAGTCATTTTACACCCCTCTAATTTGGCTCCAAATCTCAGGTGAAAATGGTCATTTTGACCCCCTCAACAAAATAGTGGATTACTCAGTAAATATACATCTGTGACATTTAATATGTTGGCTTTCATCACTATTTATATTTGTCTTTCTACAGAAAAAAATATTAACAAAATCTAAAATTTGAGCCGGGGACCTCTGGTTGAGTTGACACGGAATGACCAAGAAACAAATTGCTCACTTATTCTCAGAAAGAGGATTTGGTTCCTCAAAGCTTTTACCTTGGGAGTTCTTGGAGACCAATACTGGTATGGGGTCAAATTCATCTTCATTGGCTGTCTCAGCGCCCGGAGGCTCAAAGCCTGAGATCAAACAGGAGTCTGCAGCTAAGAGGTGATGAAAGTTGGGGCAAATGACAGTTTATGGGTAAAAGATTTAAGAGGGCGGGTGGTAGGGAGAAAAACAGATGGGTGAGAAAAATACAGCACTGTTAGCATGATGTAAACCCTGAAACTTTAACATTAAAGGACAAGTTTGGTATTTTACACTTAAAGCAATGTTTTAAGATTGTTTCTGATGAAATGGAACGGTTAAGATTGAAATTTGGACACATGCTGCTGGCCCGAGAATTTTCGGTTTCTGTGGTTGCACTCCCCCACACCTCCACAATGGTTGCATAGGTGCACAGAAACCATCTTTCCTATAACGCATTAAACTTTAGTTTACAAAGACGTGAAACTCACCGAGTGGTCAGGGGTGTTCACTGATATGCTTTCCAACAGGTTTTATCGTAGTTTTTGTCCAAGTCAAAGTCAATGGAGTAAAACCTGTTGGAAAGCATCTTTTGCAGCGATTTTTGTGTGAGCTTATCAGTGAACGCCCCAGACCACTCGGTGAGTTTCAAGTCTTTGTAAACTAAAGTTTAATGCGTTTTAGGAAGGATTGTTCCAGTGCACCCATGCAACCACAGAAACCAAAAATTCTCGGGCCAGCAGCATGTGTCCAAATTTCGATCTTAACCTATTTCATCAGATCTTAAACCAGGGCTTTAAGTGTAAAATACCGAACTTGTCCTTTAATGTTCGTGGCTGACACTTTACAAAAGCTAAATGAATGTCAAGAAAGTCCATATGGTATGTAAATAATAATTACTTTTCATTTTTTATTCCAGTAAAATGTTCAGTGTTGTCCCCAAGTTATATGCTGCACCAAGGCACATAAGCTATAAATGCCAGAAAAACGATAAATGATTGGTTGTACCGGGTATGTTCTGGGAGATGCCTCCTGAGACAGCTGCAAAGTCATCCAGACAGGAGGCGGAGCCAGAGGGGAGTGAACAGCCAAGCAGGGAGTCCTCACCAATCAAAGGGTCTGTAGTGCAGTATAGAGAAACACCAGGGAAACACGAAAACATTAAATCACAAAGATGCCAACTACCGTACATAAAAAATCAGGGGGTCATATCATGATATTTTATGTTTTTGAAGGTCCACTTATATTGTCGAAGGATTTTGTGCTAAAAAGTCAATATAGTTTATCATTATAACCATTTCCTACTATTTTTCTGACCCTTCTGATGATGTTTTAGATATGCCGATTCAAACAAAGTTTTTGCTTCCCCATATACACACCAAACAGGTGTATGTGGAAATTTAATACATACATGTGTTCAACATCTGTCAGCAAGACGTGGCAACTTAGTTTTTGCAACTTAATTTCAATATATACAAATTTGCAGTCCAAAAAAAGGTCTGTTGTTTATTGTCAAAAGTGTAGCGATGTATGAAGCACAACTCACACAGAAGTCACTTTCAAACCAAGCAGTTTTCTGTTCTGCGTGGCCAACTTGAACCTGTTGCCAAATCTGAATGGGGAAGTTTTACACAAAATTCCTAAGCACAATTTCTTTTTAAATAGCTGAATTTTGCCTTCAATATGACTGCACCATTACAGTTTTTTCAAAGTGCATTGAAGTAATTTATATCTAAAGTTGAAGGAAATTTCCTCATGATATGACCCCTTTGAGCACATCTGATTAACACAGATTAACTGCTTAAGGTACAACATTCTGCATCTTTAATAATGTGGAGGGGAAAAGGATTAGGGTAGCAGGGTTTTTAATGTGTGAAATCAGTCATAGCCTCAGGCACTCTCTCCGCACAAAGAAAACATTCTCTCACCCCTGAATATCTGACAGGGTGTTATAATGCTAGGCAGAGGCTCTTCTGCCAGTCTCTGATGCATATTTTTACCTGCCAGTGCTGATAATATTGGTTCAGCCTCCACAGGATGCAGGTGAGCCTGAGGGGGCTCCAAGCCAGGAATCAGAGAGTCCAAACACACGTCTGTTTTGACTGGGAGTAAGAGAGAGAGGAAAGTCAAAGAAAACAGATGATGCCAGAATCCAATTTTTTTAGAACATCATCAAACACATCACCGATATCTTTATCATTTTTCTGCTGGACCTTCTGCTGCCTTGATCACAGTGCTGCCCTGTCTATTCTCTCAACAATGGACATCATAAGAACTTCCTTTCGCTACTTTGAGCCCTACGTGATGAGTAGATTCTTCAAGGTATCGTGGAGAGGAGGGGTGTGCAAGTCATATAAACTAACTACAGGTGTACCTCAGAGTTCGGTGCTTAGCCCCCTCGTCTTTTTTTAAATACACAATATTTCGGGGACCCATCACTAAATGATAAATCACTCAGCTTTTTCTTCCAATGCAATTGCATAACACACAGCTATAACTGTCGTTTCAGCCTTTTGTGTTGATTTCACAATAACTATACAAATCCATTTTTGCCTCAAGTTAAATTGTATGTGACAAGAGGAGAAAATTGCAAGCTATCACAAATACAGGGACTGGATGAATATAGAAAATATCCTTTGTCACAGAGAATTGGAAAGTGTTTAGTATAGCTTTTGTAAAAGGAGCAAGCACACAGAAAGACAGTCAGTGAGAGCTCACCACCTCTGGTGTCGTCCATGGAGCTGCCGAAGGGGTCGGCCATGGACAGCAGATCAGGCAGCATGAGAGAGGTATCTGGAGACTTCAGGCCCTCTATCAGCTTCTCTGTAAGTCAGCCAGTGGAAACAGTGAACGTTAGCCAGAATAAACACAGAAATGTAGCCATGCATAAACTAAGAGGAAAGGGTAAGGACAATGGAGGGTTTGAAAGCCAGACTGATGATTAGAAAAAGTTAACTTGCACAGACGGAAATAAACCGCAGAAGAATTATTGATGGGTCTAAATTATACATTGCACAATTCAGGCCAAGTGCACAATGTAAAAGACAGTCTTTTACCCACTCTTGTAAAAGACCCACTCATGGTCATAATCAAACTTCAGATCTAATATTGTCACATGGAATCGATGTTGAGGACGTTAAAGTTCTGCAGCAAAGCGATGACTTCAAAACCAACTCCCTGTTACAAATATGGTAATTATAGATCCTCTTCTTAATATTATTAGTTCATCATTGTCATTAGGCTGTTATTAAACTAGTTAATGACAGACCTATCTCGAATCCCCATTTTTCTGTCAAAAATACTAGAATACGCAGTATCCTCACAACTATGTTCCTTTTTAGAAAGAAATGGTATCTGCATGGATTTCCAGTCAGAATTTAGACTGTATCATAGTACTGAGACAGCTCTCATTGGAGTTCCAAATTATTTGCTCTTATCATCTGACAGTGGTTGTATCTCTCTATTAGTGTTACTGGATCTAAGTGCTGCATTTGATACTATCGATCACAACATTCTTTTGAATAGACTCGAAAATTACATTGCATTAGTGGAATTGCATTGGCATGGTTCAAATCATACTTAATATTACTCAATTATTTCATTAACTCAATAGTAGGACTGTTGCTTTTCACCCTGTACATTCTATCCTTATAGAATCATTAGATACCAGTATCATTAGAAAGCATGGCGTTAGTTTTCACTGTTACGCTGATGATACTCAGCTCAATATTTCCTCGCACCCGACGAAACATACCAATTCACAAAATTAACGGAATGCATAGTTGATGTATAAAAAAACCATATAAAAATAGGATGACTAGTAATCTCCTACTACTTAATTCGGAAAAAATAGAGGTTTTAATTACTGAACCAAAAACCTCTGAATATAATAACCTAGAATACTGAATACTTTATAGCTGCTCTTTCAAGTCTTTGTCGTCAGTTAGGAACCTGGTTGTGCTCTTTGATACAAATCTTTCATTTGAAAGCCACATTTCTAGCATCTTTTCCATCTTAAAAATCTAAATCTAAATTACAACATATGCTCTCAATGCCAAATGCAGAAAAGTTAGTTCATGCATTCATGACCTCAAGGCTAGATTATTGTAATGCTATTATGGGTGGTTGCCCAGCACGCTTAATAAACAAACTCCAGCTGGTTCAAAATGCAGCAGCTAGAGTTATTACTGGAACCAGGAAGTATGACCATTTTAGCCCGGTTCTGTCAACACTGCATTAGCTCCCTATTAAACATTGCACCAATTTTAAATTTAATTCTTGCTAATTACTTAAAAAGCACTGAATGGTTTACCTCCTCAGTAATTGAGCGAGCTCTTAACGCATTATAGTCCTTCTCGTCTATTTCAATCTCAAAATTCTTGCCAGTTGATAATAGCTAGAATATTAAAGTCAACTGCAGGCGGTAGATCCTTTACCTATTTAGCACCCAAACACTAGGGTTGGGTATCGTTTGGGTTTTATCCGATACCAGTACCTACTCGGTATTTTTTAAACGGTTCCGGTGCTTAAACGGTTCTTAAATCGGTACTTAAGAAAATGAAACCGCACACACTTTATCAAAAAATAATACCCTTTAATTTACAGGGCCAAACTGGACACAATATTAACTTAAATCTTTAAACCATATAATTACAAGTAGCATATGGTAATAATAAAACCAATATAAAATAAAAATTAATATTTACATAATATCAAATGAAACAATATTGTATCAAACAATGTAATAATACTGGAGATTAATAGAGATTACTAGCAGGCAGAGCTGCCAACTCTCACGCATTGACCGTGAGACTCACGCAAATGACCCTTTTCACACAGAAAAATCGCGGACAAAGAGGACACTGACACCGACAGACAAGACAGAGAAGGTTACTTTTGATATGGAACAAATCCACAGCTGTCAGATTCTGTCAATATTTTTACGAGATTCACACAATAAATAACGTTTTGGCTCTTTGAAATGTGACAGATCGCTGTAGCGCGTCAGTTCAAACGGCACGTGATACGGCAGCCTACAAATCCACTGCTTCTTAGCTACGCAGCGTTGAGTAAACCTATGAAAGAGAACATCTCTGGTTACTGGTGTAACATATCTCTCAAAAGGGAACGGGACGCCGCCAAGCTCCTCGCGCTGCCGACCAGCTTCCTTTTTCGGCAGAGAAATCAGAGGAGCAGATGGCGCGCGCGCGCCAACATATGACGACGTAAGTGCGTCGATGCGGCGCCCGCGCCATCAGCCAATGAATTGGCTTGATTCTATATGGGATTCAGACTATCGGCACACCCAGAGGGCGTTCTGACACGTAATTTTACACGTGAAATGCAGCCAAACCTTGCGAGAAAGAGCGCGCATGCGAGGAAGAGGAAACTGTGCTCCAAACTGTGTAGCACACGCACGGCGGAGAGGGAGAGAGCGAGAGACCTTGTGTGTGTGTGTGTGTGTGTGCGTGTGTGCATAATGAAGTTAGGCACCGAAATCAGGCACCGAAATTTTCGTTCTTATTCGGTCTGGTTACTACCGTTTACGTCGGAACCGGTTCCCTATTGGCACCGAGTTTCGGTACCCAACCCTACCAAACACTCTCTTTAGCCTGGCATACACAACACATTATCACATTTCTGTAATTCACACCTGTTAAAGGATTGTTAGGCTGGATAAATTAGGCCAAACGGGGAGCACTTCCTTCCCATAACAGCCGATGTACTTGTTTCATCATAAGAATGATCTACGCTAATATTAGTCTCTCTGTTTATCCCGAGATTACCGTTGTCAGCCGTATCCGGTCCGTATCCAGATCAGATGTTGACCCTGCACCTAGACACGACCAAAACGCAGCCCTGAAGGTCAGCAGAGTTTCTGTCAACTAGACAATCCCCTGTGAAGGCCTCGTCGACACGACAGCCATCGGCACAGATCCTCAGCAAAGACCACAAGAACCAGAACTAGATAAGTCCGCTGCACAGACCTATGACCAGACTCGTCTCCGTACTGGGCATGATGCCTCTGCTTGTATGCATATATGCTTAAATTACCTTCTTTTGTTAAAATGACCATTTTGGCAAGGTATTAATGTAAGCGTATTTGGCTTACCTTAAATAAAAAAAATAAAAAAAAACACAAAGTTCAGTATAAAGATAAACCAAAAGAAACTACAGCAGTTTTTCAGTTAACAGCATCCAATCAGTATTAAGTATCAAATAATCTTGCAGTGAAGACTACAGCAATTTTTTTTTTTTTTTTTTTTTTTTTTTTACTTTACTTGAATAGTTAATATTTTTTTATGATATCTAATAAAGCTCAAGCAGCTTCCTATAATTATAATGCATTTCTTTGTTCCGCATTTATTATATTGCTTTTCATTTCTTTGTTCTTTAAATGTACTATTGAGAGTTTATTTAAAAAATGACTAGAATTGCCTAAAGACTGTGTGTCAGGATTAATTTGTTAATATTATTATTAAAATACAAATATTGTTCAATAGTACAATAGTCTTCGCTTTGGTATCAAAAATGTTATTGTGCATCACAAACCTTCAACAGAATAGGAATTTGGTATTGTGACAACTGCATGTGTGTAATGAGTACTAAGGTGAGTACAGCTGGCATGGGCCTGCATTACCTGGCACAGCTAGAAAACCAGCTCCCGGTTCCAAGCCCAGAATGTCAGTAGGTCTTTCAGCTGTATGAGAGCAGAGAAAGAAACATAAGTTAGTCAAGAAGAGCTTGACATCAACGGGAGTCATTAAATGCTAAGCATCGGCGTGAATAGAAGCAGCACACAGACACTGACAAGCAGCTCAGCAGGGATTCTGAGGTAAGTGGAGGGATGCGATTCAAAGGGCACATCGTACTGGAGTGTTTCATCTTAATAGGAGTCTCCTGCTGATTCTGAAGACCAGTTTGAATTCCTCTAGATATACTGAGCATGTGTTGACATTTAGCGAAGGAGGCCAGGAATGGTATCGAAATAAAGAGAGGGACTGGCACTCTCACATGTATGGAACAAAAAAGCAAGGATGCCACTATTAAGGGGATTTGCAGTGGATTAGGGACGATTTGCAGTGATTCATTTTTGCTATGCGAGTTCAATTCACTCAAATATCTTTAAGAGTGGAACATCAGATTAGGGCTGATGGTACACCTACCGGGAGGTGGTGGAGGAGCAGGTTCTGCAGCCTCCAGGTCGGGAATAAGACTCTCAGTAGCAGCAATCAGAGGTTCAACAGGTTCTGCAAACAGCAAAAACAATTTGGCTACATCCACACTAAATCTGGCTCCATTTGAAAACACTTTTTTTTTAAGAAACTCTCCCAAGTGGATAAATCGGAAAATGGTATTTGAAACCGATGAAGCATGTTTAGTCATGCATATTGCACAGATAGATATCTCTGTTTACACTGGTTTGTGTCTGCTCTGTGCTATTCACTTTCACAGTGTTGTTAAAGATAAATGTTACTTTGTACAATCTTCATTACATTCTTGCAAAGATGACAGAAAATGTACTATGCAAAAAATAAGAGCAATTGCATTTTAGACCATAGAATGGCGACTGAGTGCAAACTGGATGCACCAGTAAATGGTGGGATATTTTGCTAATAAAATGATTGTGCCAAAAGAACACCATAAGAAATGTGTTATGTTTGGTCTCTCAGTATCATCTCAGTGAGTTTTTCTTACGTTTTACGCATGCACAGTAACAGGATTTTGCCATTTTTTGACATTTCAGTGTGTACAAAAAACTTTTGGAAAATGTGGACGGAGAGCGTTTTTGGATGAATCTATCAGAAGGCTAATGTAGATGTAGCCTCAAAACATTGATAACTGCATTCTGCAAAGTGTGTGAACAAGCAAAGTTACCATCAGCTAGCTTGGTGAAGTCTTTGTTGAGCAGGTCCTCAGCCGTGAGTTTGGAGAAATTGTCGTCTCCGAAGGGATTCCAGGTAGGCTGGACCGGGGGGCTTGTCAGGCTAGCGGCTGAAGCAGGAGCTTGGGGGACAGAAACGCTGCCTTGCTGGGCAGGCTGGTACACACTCTGCTGGGAGGACTGGGGAGAGTTGGAAGGGGTGGCACTGGCTGACCTAATTGTGCCCGAACAATGAAAGAAGTGTTCATATGTTAGTTTAAGTAGGTTCGAAGGTGACAGAACACTTCTTGATTATGTAGGCTGTATAATGGCAGTGTCACATTGCGAAGGGCTTCAATTCTATATTTATAGGTTTGATTTCTCACTTTGACTTATTAAGGCTGGCTTCTGCTGTGGCCGCCTGCAGCTGCTGAGTGGACTGGCTGACCGGCACTCCGAACATAGCACTGTGTGTGACATCACTCTGGATGCGCCTGTGCCCCGCCTTCTGGGCCGTCCTCGGGGACGATGGAGGAGTCTGAGACAGGCCAGGGACCACAGGCTGAGGAGAAGATGAAAAGACAGGAGGATGAAGCAACTAAGAACTCATAAAATACAGAGAAATTAGAGTGTGACATGCAAATTAAATTTAAATGCAGCGAAATGGTTAAAAAGTTAAAAACAAAATGAAAAGGTGATTGATCAGGCGTCAGTGAATACAGATATAAAATAAAAATATAAACAGATGACTTCCAAAATGACTTATCTATAGCAAGATAAATAAAATTCAGACAGGTAGTAGAATTTGACGTATCAGACTCAAAATCATTTGTAGTAGTAGAAAAAATATATATTTTATAAACTCAATCCGAAATCACATCTCTTTGTGGTTTGATATTGAAAAATGTACTCATTTACATGTACTATTAGAGCGATACTACCATTCAAAAGCTTGTTGTCTGTAAGACTTTTTTTGTTGTTTTGCATTAGATTGACCAAAAATGACAGTAAAGACATTTTTAATGTTACAAAAGATTTATATTTCAAATAAATGCTGTTCCTTTAAACTGGAAAAAGTATCACAGTTTCCACAACAAAAATATTAAGCAGCAACTGTTTTCAACTTTGATAATAATAATAAATGTTTCTTGAGCACAAACTCAGCATATAAGAATGATTTCTGAAGGATCATGTGACTGGAGAAATGGCTTCTGAAAATTCAGCTTTGCCATCACAGGAATAAATTACATTTAAACATCTTATTACACACGATATTTACTACACTGTCTGAACAAATGGCTGATTTCATCATTCATTTTCATTACAAACAAATCAGATTTGAATGCAGAGTAAATGAAGCATAAACACCATTTGATTTTAACTTCATCAAAACGTATTGTTTTAACAAAAACATTGTCTGTCACAGTCTTCAGACACTTTTTAGAGCAAATAAACCAAAACAAGCAAACATCCGTCACACAAACAATCAAAACCATCTAACCAGGGATGGATGGATGCAAAACAATGGATGATGAATGAGGTGCTTCAACAGTGAGAGTGAGTCTGCCAGCTCTTTGACAGGACAGGACAGGACAGCATGCACAGGATGGAGGTGATTACCCTCTCCTCTGCGTTCTCTGGGCTGATCTGGGATTGAGGCGCTGGCTGCTGGACAGTGGGCTCTGCCTGTGCTGGAAGCGGGGCACTAGCCGGCTGAGTGGTAGTGGGCTGGACGGGCATGGGCTGCTGCTGAGCCACTGGCGCCTGCTTACGACGGGCGCTCCGTGCCGGTGCGGTGGGCGGCGCAGGACTGGATGGAGGAGGAGTGGCTACAGCTTTCGGAGGCGCAGGGTTACCCGCTGCTACTGGAACGCCCCCTCCTCCTGCTGCAGCCGCTGCTGTGATGGAGATCGGCTGCACGGGCTGGCACAAAGACACGCACCAGACAACTATACCATGATGCAAACTGTAAATGTGACCTTCACACCCCAGACTGTAGGTTTCATTTAATGCATGCAATCTACCGGCTGGAATAGTCATTGAAATGAATTAAATGATGTGATGCCAAGGAAAGACGTCATATAGATCCGACTCTTATTTCTTTTTATCCAAACTTCACTACTTTCTACTGCTTTCGTAGGACTTCAAACCAATAAATAGATTAGAAAACACATGCAATAAGATTGGCATCTCTGCCATCTCTCACAACCAATAGCGTGAGTTTGAGGCAGGGCTATATGTTTGTCCTACAAACGAAAGATGGAAATAATGTTCACAAAACCTTTTGGAAATCAGACATTTTTGCAGTCATACTTGGTGACATTAGATGCACAGAAATTACACATTCTTCCATGGAATTAAATGTAATAAAGTTCAAATAGAATAACATTACATACCGTAATTCCTCAAATAAAGACCGGTATTCAAATAAACGCCGGGCCTCTGATAGTGGCCGGGGGCGTGGTCAACGCGGACAAATAAAGGCCGGTCTCAAATTAAGGCCGGGGAAAAATTAGTGTACACTCAAAGACGGACTCGCTCAGCGGTTGTCATATCACAACTATTCAGTGTTTTTAACCACATGTTTATTTTAGGTTTCAGACATTTAAATAGATATGATTTATAGCAAAACAATAAATTTATAGTTTGTAAAATACACAATGGTGTCTATGGAAGCAGCAATAACAATCCATTCAAATATATTTGGCGACGTGTTTTATTCATATCAGATACACAGTGTAAGTAACTATAAAGTTTACTCTATTCTTCTCCCAGTTCACCGGCCACTTACTTTCATGTATTTCGGGAGAAACTGAAGAATTCACGCGCTGTAACGTAACAAATCCAACAGACAGGAATCTCTGAACTGCGGTGCCCATCTCACGTTACAGATCAAGATAATTTATAAAGGGTTTTAAACGACAAAACAAACTCACTTACACGGATTTGAGAGTCAGAATAGAAGATAGTTGATGACATGGTAAGCAAGTTTGTTAATATTTAGAAATAAAAGAGCTACATCTGTCATACAGCGCTATTTTAGCTGTGGTGAACACGTGCCAAGCATGACGCGTCACCATGGAAACTTGGCTGGCGGGCGGGCGGGGATCGCGAATTAGAAATAAAGGCCTGCCTCTAATAAAAGCCTGCTTCAAATAAAAGCCGGCTACAGTTCAGGTAAATAAAGGCCCCGGTCTTTATTTGAGGAATTACGGTAGCTATTTTCCTCCATTTCATCTCAGTTCCTTCAAACCTGCTTTCTTGTTATTTGTAACAATGACATACTAATTTCTAACATTCTTTTATAATGTATTATGCCATTAAAAAGAGCTGTGTATTGTGGGATTGGATTAGTGAAGTGAAATACAGAGAGTAAAGACACTCACCGTTTTATGCTGAGGGGCTGGAGATGCCAGGGCTTTTTGAGACTGAAGAGCTGCCGCTGGCTGAGCCAAGTTCACACTGACAGCTGGGAAACAGAGAACAATTGTGTGGAGTTATTGGATAGATGTGGGTGCATTTTGCTGTATGTCAATATATGTATTTTTATAAAGATAATGATAAAATGTTATGTTAATGTTAAATTAATAACGACACTAGAGATGCACCGATTACAATTTTCTAGGCCGATTCCGATTTCCGATTTTTCTTGAGTTTGACCTGCCGATACCGATTTTAGCCGATTCCGATTTCCTTTTTTTAAACCACTTTACAGCACACACAAATATTTATTTTCTATCTTCTCTTTAATAGAACATTTTGCATAGAACATTTTTTTAACAGATAATCGCTATAAAATAGGACTATATAAATTACTCCTGGTGTGGGAAATCCACACACATCTAAAGTGCAGTGCTATGAAGAACCATTTCCTTTTCACATCCAATATCCAACTAAAAAAAATTGATATATTTAGCAAACTAAACTTCTGTATGAAAACAGGTAATGGCAATAAAATAATATATAAATAACAAATAAAAATAAAATAAATATAGCCTACCCTTGCAGTATATATTTCTCAACACACACACACACACACACACACACACACACACACACACACACACACACACACACAGGCCTATTGCAATCACTTGTACATCAATGGCAAGTTATATTTCTCAAACAGTTTTTCTCTCTGACACATGTCCAGCCAGGCTAAACAGGACAAGTGGAGCATGAGCAGGGAAACGATTTGGAATAAAAACAAGTTATTTTCTATAAATATTTTTGAGTCTTAATTTTCTTTTCTGACATAGCCTGGCTACTTCAGTTCTTGTTAAAACACACCAGACGTGCAAATTCTGTGCATTTTGGGCACTTTTGGGGTGAAATCATATTTATTTTGTCCATCAAAAGTATGCTTTCACTTTAATTGAGCGCGAGCAAAATAGACTCGGCGCTGAATCCAGCGCTTCACTGTTGCTCACGCGACGCTCCTGCTTGACGCTCACGCGCTGCTCCGGCTCCCGGTGTGAATGCACTCATTGATTAACATGCACGCCGAAGAAAAAAAAAACCCGCTGCTCACGCTTGCGGTGTGAAACGGTCGTAATTCACGAGGTTTCCTACATGTGTGTTCCGTGTGCACGTGTGATGCTGATGTTGCGCGATGTTAATCATGCGGCGCCAGAGTGCATTTGACCTGTATAAAATCGGCATGTCAGACTGACCGGCCGGTCGCCGATCATGGCCGATCACGTGAAAATCGGCCGATTCCGGTCACCAGCCGATCAATCGGTGCATCTCTAAACGACACTAATAAAAACTACAATAAACTAAATATTTTATTAAAGATATATATATATATACATATATACACACTCACCTAAAGGATTATTAGGAACACCATACTAATACTGTGTTTGATCCGCTTTTGCCTTCAGAACTGCCTTAATTCTACGTGGCATTGATTCAACAAGGTGCTGAAAGCATTCTTTAGAAATGTTGGCCCATATTGATAGGATAGCATCTTGCAGTTGATGGAGATTTGTGGGATGCACATCCAGGGCACGAAGCTCCCGTTCCACCACATCCCAAAGATGCTCTATTGGGTTGAGATCTGGTGACTGTGGGGGCCATTTTAGTACAGTGAACTTATTGTCATGTTCAAGAAACCAATTTGAAATGATTCGAGCTTTGTGACATGGTGCATTATCCTGCTGGAAGTAGCCATCAGAGGATGGGTACATGGTGGCCATAAAGGGATGGACATGGTCAGAAACAATGCTCAGGTAGGCCGTGGCATTTAAATGATGCCCAATTGGCACTAAGGGGCCTAAAGTGTGCCAAGAAAACATCCCCCACACCATTACACCACCACCACCAGCCTGCACAGTGGTAACAAGGCATGATGGATCCATGTTCTCATTCTGTTTACGCCAAATTCTGACTCTGCCATCTGAATGTCTCAACAGAAATCGAGACTCATCAGACCAGGCAACATTTTTCCAGTCTTCAACTGTCCAATTTTGGTGAGCTCTTGCAAATTGTAGCCTCTTTTTCCTATTTGTAGTGGAGATGAGTGGTACCCGGTGGGGTCTTCTGCTGTTGTAGCCCATCCGCCTCAAGGTTGTGCGTGTTGTGGCTTCACAAATGCTTTGCTGCATACCTCGGTTGTAACGAGTGGTTATTTCAGTCAAAGTTGCTCTTCTATCAGCTTGAATCAGTCGGCCCATTCTCCTCTGACCTCTAGCATCAACAAGGCATTTTCGCCGACAGGACTGCCGCATACTGGATGTTTTTCCCTTTCACACCATTCTTTGTAAACCCTAGAAATGGTTGTGCGTGAAAATCCCAGTAACTGAGCAGATTGTGAAATACTCAGACCGGCCCGTCTGGCACCAACAACCATGCCCCGCTCAAAATTGCTTAAATCACCTTTCTTTACCATTCTGACATTCAGTTTGGAGTTCAGGAGATTGTCTTGACCAGGACCACACCCCTAAATGCATTGAAGCAACTGCCATGTGATTGGTTGATTAGATAATTGCATTAATGAGAAATTGAACAGGTGTTCCTAATAATCCTTTAGGTGAGTGTATATATATATATATATATATATATATATATATATATATATATTTAACATTTAAGTTATATATTTAAAATGTTATACATGTAATATTTATAAGTATTTAATGTATGTTTATTATAAATTTGTTTATAACAAAAATATATATTATAAATATTAATGTTGTCAAAGATTTTTTTTTTTTTTTTACAAAATCCTCAAAATGTAATGGGCTCTATGCACGGCGGTATTTCCGGTGAAGGTCTAAGGATGCTCGATTACTTCCGCCGATCGTAGAGTCCAATGCTATACCGAGAATTTATATTGGTTTTTATACTCTATTGCTATACTAAAGAAACGTTAGTCACAAAAACAGACAAAACAGACACTCCTCATTTTGTTTATGCTTCTGTGTTTATTATATTAAATAAACATAACTATATATAAAATTACATCTAAACGTATTAAAGTTTCGTTTCAAAGACGAGAGGACAGTAAATTTTGAAGACTCTGCCATAATCCCGTTTTCCTCGGTTTTCCTCCGCTTTAAATCTCCCCAACCGGAAACGCACGAACATCCTTGCGTCAAACGAGGAAGTTATGCGTGCATATAGCCCATTATTTTCTCTGCTTCTGTTGGCTATATCTAAACACTGCACGACAATAGGACTTCTCAACATCACCCAGCTCAACATTCTCCTTCACGTTCTGAATAGTAAGTATTTTGTGAATGGGATTTTATGTTCATGTTAAAACTACTATTTGCCTTAAGCTTATTTTGTGCTTATACACAGAGAACTGTGATGAATATTTCATCATATTTGTACCTATTGGCTGGGCGGCTCCGGCGGGTAAGTTGGCTCTCTTGCGTGGCGTCAGGGCAGCAGGCTGGATGGGCAGGATGCCTCCTAGTGCCTGAGACTGGGATTGTGCTGCTTTGGGCCGCTGGCGTGGGGTGATGGAAGTTTCAGTGGTGGGAATGGGGTCTGTAAGTCTACGGGACAAAAACAGAGACAAATGAGACCAGGTCAAATTTACCGACCATAAAGCACTATGAAGCCTCTGGACACGTACCTCGCCTTAGTCTGCGTTTGGCTCTTCTTCGCGGCTGCTTCGCTCGCTCTGATTGGCTCAGGAAGTTTAGCAGGAATGGGAGAATTCTAGGGGGACATATTTCAGATTAGTTTTGTTTTTAAGATTTCAGGCATTCCTGCAGGCTGACGCACACAAGCACCCAATCCAACAACTGATCCCAGAGGTAAAAGTGCTGACCCAACAACAGGCCGAGAGTAACCCTGGAGGAGAGGAAGGAAAGAGACTAACCTTGACGTTTTGGACAGGGCAGTCCCGCCGGCCCAGTTTGAAAGCAAAATAGGACACCTGATAAATGTCAGGCCTCTTTTCAGGGTCTGGTTCCAGCATGTACCCTGATAAAATCACCACCACAAAGAGAGGTAAAGAGGAGGGAGAGTGGGAGGAAGAGAGAGTGTCACAACGTGACAAAGGAAAAAAAGAGGAGAGTGGATGATCGGTATAAGCGTTCATAAATAGAATTAGTTGAAGGAATAGCACATCCAAAAATTAGAAAGTCTTCATCATTTACTCACTATCAAAACCCATTTGTACATCCATAAAACACAAAAGGAGTAGGTTTTTTTTTTTTTTAAATCCATTCCAATCTTTTCCATGTAATGAAATGTCAAGATCCTAAATGACTAACCACTAAAGTCAGTGATAGCTTTGTGTGAGCAACAGACAAATTTAAATGAATAGTTCACCCAAAAAAATTACTCATACAGGTTTGGAACAACATGATCATATCTTACTCTCTTATCTGGCTCCCAATGACTTCCATTGTGTGGACAAAAAATACAAAGTAAGTCAATGGGAACCGAAACTGTTTGGTTACCAACAATCTTTAAAAAATATATATTTTTGATGTTTATTAGAAGAAAAAAAGTCATACAGGTTTGGAACGACATGAGGGTGAGTAATTGACAACAGAATTCAAAAATTTTGGTGAACTGTTCCTGACCTGTATTTAAATTTTCACTTCATTAAAGCTCTAAAATGGACTCTCTTATGCTAAGTTCACACTTTCATTCCAAATCTGTTTCCTATTGGAATCTGATCTAAAATGATTGACGTCCACATTGTGTATAGCAACCTTTCAGATCGGATTAATATGTCTATGCCGCTCTTTCGTTTTCGGGAATATCTGCATCGGTTGCTATGGCAATACCATTGCATTGCTAGGCATATGCCAAAAACAACACCATCACGCGAAACATAGAGGGCTTTGCAATACAGATGTTGTCTTATTTACAACATGACAATGTGCGTCTTCTGGGGCAGAGGCAGAAACGTAGGAGGCTGATGTGTGCCGCTTTATTTCATGCCGTCGTCTCCGTCGGCCTCAAAACATGTCTCCGTAATATTGTTATTTTCTGCTCGTCCAGCACTTTGCAACAACATAACCTTGTTTCTGCAGCAACTTTCAGCATGTTCCTATAACAACGTCTGACGCTTACGTTTTACGCAGCGTGAGAAAGTCACATACTACGCGAAATCTGATTAGATCAGTCAGACTGAAACTGATTTTCAGCTATGCGATTGAATAGGATTTCAAACCACATATGCATGTAGCTCGAAATGGATTTGTAAAAATGTTATTTCTTGTGATTTTTTGCCGTTCACACTTGCTAAATCTGATCAGATTTGGACTGACAGTCTGAACGTAGCCATATAGACAATAAAATGGCGTGTTGACACCATTATTTTTGATTTGATTGACATCAATGTTGCCATGTTTTTGATTTTAAATATCTACAAAAGAAGGGAATATATTTAGTGTATTTTGACTTACATTTTGCTCTGTTCTTCACACAAAGCTACGTTGTAACTTCCATAACCTTTAATTAATGACTAGGATTTTCTTTGAATATTCCCCATTTGTGTTCCACAGAAGAAAGAAAGGACTTGAGGGTAAATAAATGATGATAAAATTTCAGTTTTGGCCCTTTCAAGTGAGACCCACAGCCATACTGAGCCAGTGGTGAGACGGAAACACACCTGGTGCGAGACGCGAGCAGCGACAGACAGATACTTACGGATGAGACGGTGCATGTCCTGTGAGTAGCGGGAATTGTCTGGAATGGTGAAGTTGCCATCACAAATGGCCACCTGACTCTCACCAAAGGGCAATGTGAAGAAACAGATTTTATAGAGCAGACAGCCCATTGCCTGAAAGAACAAAGAACGGGAAAAAGACCCTCGATTGAGGTAATAATATAATGTATAAAAGCCTTGAATAAGGTTAATTAAACAGTCTTATAACTTCTGTTCTTTTGTTTTTTTGGTACAAAACAAGCATACATTAAAGTTAATAAGAAAGCAAAATTGACCATACTCATTTTTTAAATACACATTCTGGTCTTATTGTAAACATTTTGTAATCTCTTCTGGAATGAATTTGCTTATCTACTGACGTTAATATAACCAATGACCTAACAGCTATTTAGGCATCGATTTAGCAAACTTGCTTTTAGTCTGGTGAAAGATAGATTCGAAAAGCTTAAGAAAAGCCACTTTAAAATATCTTCTGATTGGCTCTGATATCTTTAATATATTTACTTACCCAGATATCTGCTTTAGTGGTGATGATTTTGCTGTTGTACAGGTTCACCATTTCAGGAGCGCGATAGGACAGGGTTGTGTACCTAAACAAAACAGACAATTTCATCATACTCTGCATTATAATTAGAGTTATTAGAAATTTGTCATATTTTGCAATAAATACAAGCAATTTTTTAATGGCCGATTTCACCTCAAAATTCTAGGTTGAAGGATGAACAGTACAGACTTAGAATATTATCCATCATAATGGTTATTGGCCATCTATTTTAATGTATTTAAAATGTAATTTATTCCTGTGATGTCAAAGCTGAATTTTCAGCATCATTACTCAGTCTTCAGTGTCACATGATCCTTCAGAAATCATTCTAATATGCTGATTTGCCACTCAAATTTTTTTTATATATATAATTAAAGCTGCAGTCCATAGTTTTTCCTCTTTGTCGCTATCTCTGTTCGAAATCTGCAATTGCAGTTATTCGCAGAATTATCAACTTCACGCGAGTTGTACTTCGACACGGCACAGCGTGGATGAACACAATGTTTGAGGAGTGTGTGCAGCTGTCAATCACCGTGCCGGTGTGGATACTGGCATTCAGAATCACAGATTATTCTTTTTGGAAGTATGACCAACATAATAATTTTCACCGGAAAATGTCATCTGAACAAGTAACATCCACTTTTGTCCTGGTTCTGACATTGCAGTAAATCACGCTCGCTGATTAAATCTAAAAATCGCTTATCATATCACACAAAACCGTGCAAATTATACTTTCTCAAATTGTTAATGTTAACAACGTCAGCATTGCGTGACTACATGTAATGTCCTTCCGATATTTATCCTTGTTTTCGCATGGGTCCGGTTGCAGTCTCTTTTCTTCTGTAGCCACTCCGAAGTCTTTTACATTTTACAACGGGTGAGTCTCTAGTTGTCACTGGTGATTGTCGTTTGAACCTTTCTGGATCCGCCATCAAATTAATAACTTTAATTATATCAAGTGCTGTGAGAAAAGGCTATAAATCGCTACCTCCAACATCCTCACATGCAATATAGCTTATACTAGCCGAGACTCCTCCTTTATGTGTACAGATGTGACGTAATGACGCAAAGACATGCTCGAATCTCCCAAGGAAATCCACCAGTACCACTGGAATTAAAAACATTATTACAAGCTTACCGTTTTGAATCGAGCTAAGGCAAGCAGATAGTTTTGAACACTGGCTGGTTATGTATTTTCATATTTAATATTTTAAGGTATTTATGATCATTTTTAACCCCAAAAAAGCTACGGACTGCAGCTTTAATGTTGTAAATAGTTGAGTTGCTTACTATTTTGTGAAAAATATGTTACACTTTCTTTGATGAATATAAAGTTCAAAAGTACAGCATTTATTTGAAATAGAAATCTTTTGTAGCATTTATAGATGTCTTTACGGTCTCTTTTTACCAATTTAATACTGAATACTTGATCTTTACTGAAAAGTTTTCATTCCTTAAAAAAAAATTTATATGATCTGTCTCTCTCTAGTCTTGATTAACAACATTTTATATTTTTTCTGATCACTCACCCAACAACTTGTCAATATAGGAATGTTAAAGGGATAGTTCACCCAAAAATGAAAATTCTGTCACCATTTACTCACCCTCAAGTAAAGTAAGTGGTTCCAAACCTGTATTCATATCTTTCTGCTGCTGAACACAAAACAAGATTTTTTGAAGAGTGTCGATAACAAAACAATTGATGGGCATCATTGAATTCCACTGTTTGTTTGTTTTTCTCCATAGGGTGAGAAAGTGACGACAGAATTAAAACTTTCTGGTGAACTATCCCTTTAATGAGTAAAATCATGCAGTAAAACTTACAGACCATCAATACAACAATTTACAACATTATGCATATTCATTCCAAATAATCAATAGCCTCCTGGAATCCGTGAAGAGAGTGGACTCACCTCCAGTAATGCACGTGTGAAAATCTAAAATACATATTTTTATTTACATCACTGTTCTGAGTTCTGCAGAAATTGATTAAAACGGGTCATTTTACGAGTAAACCTCCTCTGCCGATTTCCACTGGTTATAAATCAAATTGAATTTCACAGAAACAGGCTGATTGGATAGAATTACTTTTTAATTTCGTCCTCCACCACAGTCACTCCTTCACTCTGGGGGTTCTGGAACTTCATGGTGGCGCTGCCAAAATCACACAGAACATAGTGTCCTCTGTCATGAAGCAGGATGTTTTCCACCTGCAAAGAGTCATACACAAATTACACTCCAGTACAACATCTCATCTTCAACTAATAAAATAATGTTTTGAGAAAAACCCCAAGGAGTCAACCTCTTGATTAAGTGTTCACTGTGAAGTAGTTTTACCAAGGTAACAGTCAGTCACAAACAGCTGTTAACTGTGACTCATGTAATCAATGATGTAATCAAAAAGCAAAGCAGAAAATAAAGGAACCTTGAGGTCTCGGTGGATTATGGGAGTTTTGAACTGGTGCAGACGTGCCACAGCCTCACACGTGTCACAGAAGATCTGGAGCGCTTCCTGTTCGCTGAAGCCCGTCTGCAAACGCTGGTTCATTAGGTTCACCACCTGACCACCTGTACGCAAACAAACAGAGATGTAAAACACTACAACACTTCAGAACCAAGTAAACACCAAGACAACCAGGATAGTATTCAAAGCGGGTTGAGAGGGTTTTCTCTGAGGTTCTTGAGGAGAATTAAAGCGGAGACACTATTTGAAATTAGAAAGGTAAATACACAGTCCAAATCAAAACAATTAATTAAAAGTGTATACCTAGACATTATATACCTGAACACAAGAACCCACACGTCGGCCTTTAAATCCATCTGTAAGCACTTCAGAAGTCAATTAGCCAGCAATTATGTCAATTTGCCTTCATTTGACTCCCTAGCGAGCATGTTTAAATTTCAATCAATATCTTTTAAGTATCAAGATCACGTGATGGAAGCTCACTGTGAACGCCGCATTCATATACATCCTATGGGTTTGCCTTTTTTGAAGACTCAAAAGAAAGAAACAAGCTCTTTTGGAATAATGAAAAAATCAATAATCTGTTCTGGGCTTTACGAAATTCTAAGGATAACATCTTGCAGTAAATTAACCAATCAAGACATAGGGAAACCCTTTCAGATGAGGACACTGGAAAATGTTTTCCCAGTAATGAGGAGAAGTCTTTTGTGTAGGTGCTGGAGATCACATACTGGCCTTACACAATTCGAGACTTCGAGTAAAGTAAAGCTTTCTCAAGGGACATGAAGATTAGGATATACAGGTCCTTCTCAAAAAATTAGCATATTGTGATAAAGTTCATTATTTTCCATAATGTAATGATAAAAATTAAACTTTCATATATTTTAGGTTCATTGCACACCAACTGAAATATTTCAGGTCTTTTATTGTTTTAATAGTGATGATTTTGGCATACAGCTCATGAAAACCCCAAATTCCTGTCTCAAAAAATTAGCATATCATGAAAAGGGTCTCTAAACGAGCTATTAACCTAATCATCTGAATCAACTAATTAACTCTAAACACCTGCAAAAGATTCCTGAGGCTTTTAAAAACTCCCAGCCTGTTTCATTACTCAAAACCGCAATCATGGGTAAGACTGCCGACCTGACTGCTGTCCAGAAGGCCATCATTGACACCCTCAAGCAAGAGGCTAAGACAGAAAGAAATTTCTGAACAAATAGGCTGTTCCCAGAGTGCTGTATCAAGGCACCTCAGTGGGAAGTCTGTGGGAAGGAAAAAGTGTGGCAAAAACGCTGCACAACGAGAAGAGGTGACCGGACCCTGAGGAAGATTGTGGAGAAGGACCGATTCCAGACCTTGGGGGACCTGCGGAAGCAGTGGACTGAGTCTGGAGTAGAAACATCCAGAGCCACCGTGCACAGGCGTGTGCAGGAAATGGGCTACAGGTGCCGCATTCCCCAGGTCAAGCCACTTTTGAACCAGAAACAGCGGCAGAAGCGCCTGACCTGGGCTACAGAGAAGCAGCACTGGACTGTTGCTCAGTTTTGCATGTCATTCGGAAATCAAGGTGCCAGAGTCTGGAGGAAGACTGGGGAGAAGGAAATGCCAAAATGCCTGAAGTCCAGTGTCAAGTACCCACAGTCAGTGATGGTCTGGGGTGCCATGTCAGCTGCTGGTGTTGGTGCACTGTGTTTTATCAAGGGCAGGGTCAATGCAGCTAGCTATCAGGAGATTTTGGAGCACTTCATGCTTCCATCTGCTCCAAAGCTTTATGGAGATGATTTCATTTTTCAGCACGACCTGGCACCTGCTCACAGTGCCAAAACCACTGGTAAATGGTTTACTGACCATGGTATTACTGTGCTCAATTGGCCTGCCAACTCTCCTGACCTGAACCCCATAGAGAATCTGTGGGATATTGTAAAGAGAAAGTTGAGAGACGCAAGACCCAACACTCTGGATGAGCTTAAGGCCGCTATCGAAGCATCCTGGGCCTCCATAACACCTCAGCAGTGCCACAGGCTGATTGCCTCCATGCCACGCCGCATTGAAGCAGTCATTTCTGCAAAAGGATTCCCGACCAAGTATTGACTATTGAGTGCATTACTGAACATAATTATTTGAAGGTTGACTTTTTTTTTTGTATTAAAAACTGTTCTTTTATTGGTCGGATGAAATATGCTAATTTTTTGAGACAGGAATTTTTGGTTTTCATGAGCTGTATGCCAAAATCATCAGTATTAAAACAATAAAAAGACCTGAAATATTTCAGTTGGTGTGTAATGAATTAAAATATATGAAAGTTTAATTTTTATCATTACATTATGGAAAATAATGAACTTTATCACAATATGCTAATTTTTTGAGAAGGACCTGTAAGGGCCATGTCAGGCTGTGATGGAGGTCTGAAATCTATCTAAAGAGCACCTCCAGGTGGATGAATTGTATAAATAGCACAAACACCTTGTACAAGAGGAGATACTATATATACTAGTGCAAAATGCCCGTGCAAAATAATTTTTTTGTGTGTGTTTTTAGCAATTGTTGGATTGGTGTGTTTGAGTGCTCATTGTTACAATTACACAGGAAAAGTTCAGTGACATATTTATTTGTGCATGGTAGAAAGCATACTGATACTGACATAATGATCCATTGGAGGATATATTTAGAGTGGATACAGATACATGCCCGTGAAAGATAGCGACAATGTTAAGCGCACCAGAATTAAATAATATATTAAGAAGTAAACAGCGTAGCTTTAAATAAACATATTAAACTTTTACGCAGGTAATCTGTTTTGCAGTTCCTGCCTCTGTTGTTTTCGGTTGCAAATTGCTGTTCACAGGCTTGCAGTGCTTTTGGCCGCATTTGTGCGCAAAAACCGTGCCAAAAGTATTAGCGCGGAAAAATGAAAGTTTGAAGAATACAGATTCTATTTATTTTGCATTAGCATGAAGCTGCAGCTTCAAAATGCATGAATTACACTTACGAATAACAGTTAAATGCTGCAAATATTTTTTTCTTACACTTGAAGGGCGATTTACACCTTTACAAATCTTCTCTTGCGTATGCAAATTTAATGTACGCTTGCAATCTTATGTACGCTTTCACAAATCTTACCCTGTGCATGCGATTCTTTATGTCATCATAAACTGTTGAATAGGCAGGGCAACTATTTACCATAGCATATTAAACATGACATAGTTAACATAGCACATTAAACATCACATAGTTAACATATACATGCTAACTTCAGCGCGCATGACACATAACGTTAATAGCATTTACTACAAATGATGGCCGTGAAAGAGACTACGAACGCATTAAATATAATATTAAGAAGTAAACAGCGTAGCTGACTTACAGATTCAGTTAACAAATGAATAAGCGCGACGATTCAGGAAGCAAATCTGCTTTCTTCGTCCCTCTGTCTCTGGTCCTGCGCTGTGCTCACTCAGTGTGCAGTGTGAGAGGGGGAGTGGCCAGCGGCTAGAGCGGCAAAAACCAATGTGTGCTTCTTTTAGCGATATATTTAGCGATATCTTTTGCATTTCTAATCCAAACAACGCACTGCACTTACTCGTGCCCGTAGCAAGACACCTGTCAAGTTTGAGATCCATCGGACTAACGGTTCGAGAGATATGCGATCAACAGACAGACAGACACACACACAGACAGACAGACGTTCCTGTAATTTATAGATAGATAAGGCCCTGTTTACACCTGGTATTAAGATGCGTTTTGGTCGATCAGATCACAAGTAGACGAGGAAGACACATTCCCGTTTACACCTGGTGTTTTAATCCCTCTCTTTTGTACACTTTCAACCACTTCTGTCCTGATTTGTTTGAAGGGCGGGTTTATGGGCTGGTAAATGTACGAGTTCTTTCAGGTTTTTTCGATCTAATGGACAAAATAAGCTCACGCAATTTACACATGAACGCTCCCGAAGAACACAGAAAAACATACGGAGAGCATGAGCTTTCGTTTCTGCTCTGACAGCCGCAAGACCACGCCGAACGCTGTGAGTGTGTGTTAGAAATCAGGAATGATCAGAGAACATTGTGCTTGGTACGTTTTTCATCTTCAAACCAAACTTAGGTCTCCAGCCGACAAAGTTTAAATCCCGTCTGGCTAGTGTGCTTCCCAATAATGTTTACGCATTAGGTCAGTAGGTCTCGGAGAGCAGGCGTCTTTTGTGGCTGTTTAAACAATAAAATAAATCAAAGATCCTTTTAAGGGTGTGCTCACACTTGGCAGGTTCAGTTCGATTAAACCGAACTCTGGTGCGATTGCTTTGTTAGTGCGGTTCATTTGAATGAGCGTGAACGCCGCCATCCAAACCCTGGTGCGCACCAAACAAGCGGAGCGAGACCCCTGAAAAGCTGCTTCCAAATAGAGATGCACCAGTCGACCTGCCAGAAATCTTTTTTTTATTTATTTTTTATTCCGAACTTGCACACAAGCTGCGTTGCAATAATTTCCCAAAATGTAATTTGTGTGGAAATATTACAAAGTCTCTTAATCTCTTAAACAGGACGTTAACACAGGCCAGACTGGACATGCTGAAGACGGATGCGAAGAAGAGCAGAACAAATACTGTACCAAGCTCAAAAGTTTTACAGTTTACGACATGCAAAATATAGGAAGTGTACAGCGGCAACCAAAGAAACGCCATGTTGCCGCTGTTCTATAAGCGCAACTTACTGTCTGAGAGTGAATCTGCATTTTCAATTAGCCAGCAATTATGTCAATTTGCCTTCATTTGACTCCCTAACAAGCATGTTTATCTCAATCAATATCTTGTAAATATCAATATCCCGTGATGGAAGCTCACTGTGAAAGCCGCATTCAAAGACATCCAATGGGTTGGCCTTTGTGAAGACTTAAAAGAAAGAAACAAGCATCTCTTAGAATAATGAAAAAAATCAATAATCTGTTCTGAGCTTTACGAAATTCTAAGGATAACATCTTGCCATGAATTAACCAATCAAGACAAAGGGAAACCCTTTCAGATGAAGACAGTATCTCTTTCTCATCTTAAACAAGACGTGATTCCACAAGATGCAACCCTAAAAGGAGAGAACGCTCAAACATACTTGATTTTTCACGTCATCGGAGCAATGTTGCATATTACAGTTCAGGACAGGTGTCACAATTGCCATATTCTTAGAGCAGATCAGAAGAATTTTTAGCGTGGTTTTGACTCATTGACACATTTTCTAAGTTCTTCGTGAGTTCTCAGCATATGAAAATACCATCACATTTATACATACACACACCGAGCACATTTAGGCCAGAACACCTTTGCATTTCCTTTGCAAAATATAAGTCATAAAAGCGTTTTTTCTTTTGTTTTAGTTTTTTGTATCTTTAGGTTCAGTGTAAAAAAATGACAGTTGGAAAGCTAAGTGAACCAGGACTAAATGTATCATTTTTTGCTTTGGTCCGGACCGAAAGAACTAAACTACAAGTGTGAACAGTGAACACAAACTAAATGAAAGCAAATTTAATGAGACATTTGAAAAGAGCTTTTATTTAAAAAAGACATTTGAAAAGAATTTTAGCTTTTAGTCGCATCACTGTTTGTCATATAGTTTGTTTGTTTTCCCACACAGAGCACAATGCGGCTGTGCACAGAGGCATTATGGGGCTGAAAGGCAGACTTACCTCTGCAGAAGTCCATGAGGATAAACACCTCCCACACGTCTCCACCTCCTACAGCCGTGATGCTGGAGTCCAGGAACCCAACAATGTTCTTGTGACCGTTGAGATCCCGCTGGAATACCAGAAAGTGTATGAATGAATCAGACGAAATGAGCTCAAGCAGGCACACGTCACAAAAAGCTCAGATTTTTTAAATACTATATTAAAGGGGTCATGAACTGGCTTTTAAAAAAAATTTATATTGTTGTCTGAGGTCAACTTATGACGTTCGCTTGGTTTTTACATTCAAAAACATCAAAATGAATAAGTAATAGGCTATTTTCTACCCTAGTTTTGAGCCTAGCTCAAAAACGCTCGGTTTTTATGGGCGTCTCGCATTGAAGACTTGGAAGTAAACGCCCACTGCTGTGAGTGGATAACCGTTTTGCATATTATAATGAGTTTCGTGTAATGCGCGAATCGGTGGGCGGGGCTAAACCGGCCGTGTTGAAGTAGGCGTTGATCTTCTTCTGCGGGGGTGGTGTTTTATCCTCTTTGTCGTCATAGTTCCCCACTTTGAAAAACGAGTCGTTTGCTGAGCCTGGTGTCAAATAAAAGCTTTTATTGGACTAACAAGGACGTTTTCAGTTCTGAAACTTACAGGATATTCTTATAATATGATGACCTCTTAGATGTCAAAAGCTCAAGGAAAATTTGATTTCTCAGTTCATCACCCCTTTAAATTAAATATTGTATGGTACCTGCCATTAAAAAAAAAAAAAAGTAAGTCTCTTATGCTCACCAAGGCTGCATTTATTTGATCATAAAAACGGTCATATTGTGAAATATTATCACAATTTTAAAAAGTAATAATGTAATTTATTCCTGTGATGTCAAAGCTGAATTTTCAGCATCATTACTCCAGTCTTCAGTGTCACCCTTCAGAAATCATTCTAATATGCAGATTTGGTTCCACAAATATTTTTGTGCAAAACATGATTATTTTATGAATTGAAAGTTCAAAAGAACAGCGTTTGTTTAAACTAGAAATCTTTTGGAACATTATAAATGTCTTTACTGTCACTTTTGATCAATTTAATTAATCTATTCTAGCTAAATAAATAAAAAAAACTTACTGACCTCAAACTTTTGAACTGTAGTGTAAGTCATGTTTTTACAGTATAACATGTCTCAAATATAAATGATCTTATCAGTGTTAAAGCACAGAAGACATTTCATCATGCTCACCATGATCTGGATCTCGCGCTTGCAGACCTGCAGGTCGTATTCGTTGTTGACATACATCCTCTTTAGTGCGCAGCGCACCCCCTGATTAGTCCGCACTAAGAAGACGATTGCAAAGCCGCCTGCAAAGGAAAACACACAAAGTTTAAATGCTTTTGCTGAAAACTAGCTTGAGAACTAAAGGAGTAAGGTGATATTTACACCACAACACTGCCTCCATGTGGAAATCAGCGGGAATGTTAATTCAGTTTACCTTAGAAATTTATTTTCTGTTAGAATTATTATATTATATAAAATTGTTATAATTTAAATAGTTAATTTGTAATAAATCAAAACAGCAATAATAATAAATTATTGATATTAATATGATTAGGCTATTTAAAGTCCCCTGTAGTCAATAATTTTATCCCTTAAAACTCATCTTTGATAATCAAAATTACATATTTAAACGTTTATCCCTTGAAAAAATGTCTTTGTGTCTTAGAATAGCTTGAATGTAACTCTAAACCCTTGCCTCATTTAGTATACACGGTTAGCCCCGCCTCCACTAGCTCAACCAGCTCAGAGATCCACTCGTTGACGTGATTGGTTACAAGGTAGTTTGTGACGTCAGAAACACCAGCGATTTCAAACCGTGTTTTTGAGACCCGTCTTTGGTTCACTACAGTTTTAAGGACAAAATACTCAGCAATGGTGTTGACTTATGAATTTAGACTTATTTTGTCTTAAACCATATTAAAAACACCACATAGACATATAAACAACATTAAAAGCTTGATTTTCACCACAGGGGGACTATTTGTGATCAAACACTGCTCACCCTGTCTATAAGTTCACTTAAAAAAATCCATTATTCACATTTACGCATGCAAGCATTAAATTGTGTTTCGTTGAGCCAGACATTTTTAGTGGAAGCACTGGGAACCAGTGTAAGCAACTGCAGGCGTATGTGAACAGCATATAGACACTTAGTCTAAGCATTTACTCATGGTGTTACAGTCCATGCTGAAGTGTCCAGTCAGACATCAGAGCCTGTATGTTTGCACTCAGATTTTGCTGTGTTAGCATAATGTGGAGCAGGGTGTTATTCCTCAAAGCAGGCACAGGGGAAACTGCTGGGGGAAAGGAGGACACAGATATTTCTAGCTCTATAGAAACAGTCAATTTACAGTCAAACAATGAGAGGTAACAATTATCTCTGTTTTGTTTTTATTGCAGAGCTGAAAAAAGATGCTGAGAGGTGTTTGAACAGCACAGATGTGTCTGAGAAAGTCTACTCGCTTCGTTACCAGTTCCATCTGTGAACTGGAAATTCAATTAAACAGAGTAAACAACGGTTTCCTTTACAACACTGATAACACACGCAATTCATGACGACGCAATGAACGCACACTCAACCAATTTAATGCTTTCTTCTGTACACCACAAAAGAGGTTTTAGGCAGAATTTTCATATTGCTTTTTTAAATAAAATCAAGCTTTCACAGCACCTGGACAACATTCACTTCCTAGTATGGTGTCAATAAATGTCCTCTCTTATAACAACATGAGGTAGAGTAAATAATGACAGATTGTTATTGTTTATGTGAACTGTACCTTCAAATTCCTCGCTAAAAAATGGATCTTTGAATCATCAATATATCAGGTTAGAATGAACACATACAGGTTTGGGGTTAGAAAGATTGGTAACACTTTACAATAAGGTTCATTAGTTAACATGAACTAACCTTGAACAACTTCTTCAGCATTTATTAATCTTAGTTAATATTATATTCAGCATTTACTAATACATTATTAAAACCAAAGGTTGTGTTTGTTAACATTAGTTAATGCACTGTGAACTAACATGAACAAACAATGAACAGCTGTATTTTTATTAACAAAGATGAATAAATACTGTAACAGATGTATTGCTCATTGTTAGTTCATGTTGGTTAATACATTAACTAATGTTAACTAATGAACCTTACTGTAAAGTTTTACCGAAAGATTGTTTAAATATTTTTGAAAGAAGTGTCTTCTACTCACCAAGGCTGCATTTATTTGATCAAAAACACTGTAAAAACAGTAATATTGTAAAATATTACCATTAAAATAACTACTTTTCTAAACAAATGTCTATAGAGAACTACTTTTCTATTTGGATATATTTTGACATCTAATTTATTCCTTTGAATTTTCAGCATCATTACTCCAGTCTTCAGTGTCACACGATCCTTCAGAAATCATTCTAATATGCTGTGTTCAAGAAACATTTATGACTGTTATATGTTTACAACAGTTGTAGAAATGGTGATTTTTTTTTTTCCAGGGTTAATTACTTGATAAATAGAAAGTTCGAAAGAACATTTATTTGAAATAGCCTAATATTTTCATTATAAATTATTAATGTCTATACCATCACTTGAACAATATAATGCATCTTTGCCGAATAAAATAATTTTAACTAATCGTTTATATATATATTTCTTAAAAATATTGACCCTGTACTTTTGAACGGTACAGTATATCTTTTTACGCAATGTGGCAAATTAATGTTTTAAAGTACAAATACTCAATATAGTCTCACAATTAATAGAAAAAATGCATTATAATAATAATGATAAAAGAATCAATGAAATGCTTAGATGGAATATAACATGTCACACCGCCGGACATGTCAACACCCAACTACAGATGAGCAGGGATTTCCACACAAAGGATTTAGGCCACTAACTAAAGCTGCCAGAGGAGCCGAGAAGAGCAGAGATCTAACCAGTTCACCGGCAGGACATTTGTTTGGTGGATTCAATTATCTGTAACTAGCTGGCCTATAATGATTGAACATCAAGGAAGGATCGGGAAAAAAAAACATTATGCAGTGACAGAGCGATATGTCAACCAGAATAATTATTCAATATCTGGAGATTTTGAAATGATCAGCATTGGCCAATGATTGGCAGATGTATTACCTGCCCCTTTTGTAAGTCCAAAATTGACTGACAGCTTTGGCAAATGAATGACAACATTTAAAGATTGAATTTTGAGAAAAAAATAGCATAATTATTAATTTGTGTGTGGTTATATATATATATATATATATATATATATATATATATATATATATATATATATACAGTATTTCATATCTATCTATCTATCTATAAATAAATTCATTACTTTTCTATGAATTTACCAAACTGCTAACACTTTTACAATTCCCATATTTCCAGCTTTTCCATGACCAGGATGACCTTGTTCACAATCAGTGTTGGGTAAGTTACTCTAAAAAGTAATTCATTACTAGCTACTACTAATTACATCTTAAACAGTGTATTTAGATTACTGTACAAATTCCTCTCTCTAAAAAGTATTACATTACTTATTACTTTCTAAATCCCATAACAACCTCAACAAGTTGAACAATCCAAGGATAGACTGGAAACTGCTCTTTTAATTCCTTCAAATAAATAAAATATTTTTTAAATATGACCAAAGTATTTAAAGGGAAAAGGTTACATAAAAAAACATACATTAATTATCCGTTAAATTTTTATGTTAAATCCACTAGTGGTTCCTATAGAATTGTTCTATAGTCTATACAGCATTTAATGCAATTACATCAGGAGTAACTAATTAAATAACAGAAAAATTAAGAGAAATCCATTACTTTTTCATGGGACAGTAATGCATTACACTTGTCCACTTGATCATCTATAAATAATAGTAACAATGTTTTGATTGATAACTTCATCGTCATTGTCAAATCTGGATATTGTTTGAAGCTCAATCAAATTAAATTCACCCAGTCTTAAAGAATTTCATCGTTGAAAGAATTTTGATTCTCATGATGTTGATTATGGTGTGCTTAGCCGAAGATCTGTCCTGTCCTGTTAAGTGAAAGGTTGTAGGTTGAAAGGAAATATCAAACATCAGCCTGACGTACCTTCTGCCAAAGTTTCTTCTACAGTGACCTGGTGTCTCCCGACAGTGAAAGCCCGACCGATGAAATTCCCACCAGCACCACTGCTGGATCCAGAACCTCCAGCTCCCCCTCCAGAACCAGGTCCAGAGCCCACCAGCTCCCTCCGGGAGTCAAAAAACTTCTTCATGATGTGTCAAAGATCCCTTAAACACTTATGCAAGTCTATTAGAAACTGAAGTGGGAGGGTTGGTTGTTCTGGTGCCAGAGGTCTAGATCAGCTGCGACTGTCAAACATGGACTTGCTGCCCAACTCTGGTGCTGACCACAGCTTAAATGAACCGTATAGCCACAAAAACGTACAAGCAAATGATTGTAAACAGTATATATATATACTAAATTAAAGCATCACAGTTGAGTATATCCAAATAAACAGCATTAATCAGCGATGGCCTGATATGATTAATGTGTTTGACTAGTGTCTATGCAAGTGACACGAGCCCATATCACGATATAAATATTTAAATCCAGCTGAAATCGATGTAAACATTCAAGGCCAGTTGCAAAGTGAACCTTCAGATGTGAAGTCAACAGGAATGATTGTTTGGATGGATGAAAGTCAAACTCTCCATCATCAGCCAGCTGTGCAGTTCATTAAAACCTCTGAAAAAGCACCCACTTTTCACAGAAAAACAAATGACACGCGGATATTAATCAGGATGATGGATAATTTCATTAGTTAAACGCCCGTAACCATATTAATTCGTCCCTTGACTGATGAAAATATAATAATTTAAATTCAACATATGATCAGCTAGGCGCTAACGCTAGCATTCCTGCAAAACCCACTCAGACGCGTTTCGCATCTCATCTGCGCGCTCCCGTCGGTGGCTTGCAGGTGAACGGTGAACGGATGCGATTTGATTTTAATCAGACAGAATCGAATTCATGCAGAAATTAGCGTGTTGTTCATGGCGATTCTCGTCTGCGGCTTCGGATGCTGCAGATGCGCCAGCTAACCGGAAACCACACCGGAAGTGTGAAGCCAGCGCTAAAATAACTATAATAAAAGTCCGAAACTCTTAATAGAAAAACTCTCTATTGTAGCTACTTTATTGTTATGAGTTTTGCAACATAGTCATCAAAATGTGGGGCGTCCACATATAAATACGTATTTGTAAGAAAAAGAAATTGGTATAAAATATGACATATTGTAAATGTACTTATTACATACAAAAAATTGTTATCCACATGTAAATAGCATTACAAAGACCTACTTTTACTCATTTTAAAATATAAATAGGTCACTACTATACCTTCATACTTTAACAGCAACAAGAAATAACCAAAGCAAAAAGACTGTCATTTACTGCAAAGCACTCTTATGATAATATTTTTTAATTAGGCCTATCATTTAAATCTTGACTAATTTTCAAATTGTTTGTCAGAAATCAACAACACCTCAGGAAAATGTTATGGGGTTTCAAACCAGAATATGACTTTTTTACAAAACAGCATCGACTTCATGACCTCTGTAGAGGACACCAGGACTTGCATCATGGCATATCATGCATTTTGGAGAGACAACAAGTGAAAAAGTATAAGGATAAGGTTAAAGGGTTTAAATGTATTACAGAGACAAATAACAAAATAGAAAGCTGTTTATGTGAAGGATGGCACTTTCAATTTTGTCAAGAGGGGATGCTATAACTTAAAAATTATGCAAATGATTGAAGAGACGCTTGTCAACAGGGTAAGAGCTTTATGTACAAACAGGTACACAATTACAAAAGTACATATTTGCTGCAATATGTAACATAGCTGATTTACTTATGATGGATCATGCAATGCGATTAAAGTGATAGTTCACCCAAAAATGAAAATTCTGTCATCATTCAGACATTCACTCACCCTCAAATTGTTCCAAACCTGTATAAGATTCTTTCTTCTGTTGAACACAAAAGATTATTTTTAAAAATATAACCTCAACCTGACAGTTAACGTCACCCATATTGCCGTTTTTTTTCCCTATAGATATGGAAGTCTAGGTGCAGTTAACTGTCAATATTCTTTAAAATATCATAGTTTGTGCTCAACAGAAGAAAGAAACTCATACAGGTTTGGAACAACTTGAGGGTGAGTAAGTAATGACAAAATTTTCCTTTTAGGGTAAACCATTTAATTTGACTTTGAAGGAAAACTTAAAACATGTACGACTATAAACTTTACCACAAAGTTTAGAACAAACAGAAATTAAAGACACTTTTGAATTGGCTATATTGGTTAGCTGAGACATTTGACAGAGTTCAAAAGGTTCAGTAAGCACATCCTATAAAGTCAACAAGTGAGTCCTAGTTTCAGCTCGGGTTATGAACCGTTCAATCATTCATCTCAACGTAAAATAAAGAGGAGGGGCCGTAAATGAGGAACTGTAACACGACTCAAGCAGTCCACAAGCCAACACCCATTAAAGTTGGCAACAAAACTCAGAAACATTCCCGCAGATCTCCGTACATCCATTTAGAGTGACGGGTCTCGCGCATCTCGTTGAATCCAGCGCTTCAGGTAAGACACATTAAATAGAATTTTATAGAATTGAATAGAAAACTTGAGCGCTTTCATGTTACCCTCGTCTCTTTCGGCTCTATAACGAACGTTTATAGACGTTCATTTTCTTATTTAATAGGCGAATAGAAGTCATGTTATGGAAATGAAAACTAGTAGTCGTGAATTGAAGCTTGTAAAATAAAGTGTTATCCTAACGTTTTTGCGAGAGCACTAACGCCCATATTCCAGTCACGTGACTGTACAGCTCCACATGATACTTCGATATGTGGCTTTCATTAAAATACAATGAGTCATATCATGGCTTTGCATTGCAAATAAATTACAACACATGTTTTACATATACATGACAATGACCTACTTCTGGTCTCACAGAAAAGAAAGAAAAAATCAGAGATTTCAATATGAACTCGAATATATTTATTTTCTAATGGTCTAATTCTTATTGTGTCAAAAGTTAGTTTTGAGTTTCTGTTTTAATTTCTTCAGAGGAATCGTATTTAGTTGATAAATCATAACTTACAACTGAGCTATATTCTGAGCTCTGGGCACTAATTTGCAGAATAGACTATGGTAGAAAGATGCTGAGATGTCTCAAATACTGAAATATGTTGTGAATGTCAATGAATTCATCTCTGATAGTGTGACTCAAAATCAAAAGAGGTTTCTGACACTGCACTGCAACTGTGTCAACATTGAATGTAGAGCATGTTGAATAAATTATTAAAAGATCATTAAATGATGCATTATATCGTCATAGAGCCAATGTTAGAATACAATGAGGCGAAATTTGAAAGACTGTCAGCTGTTTCTGGGTTTTAAATGGGGTCTTTTGGGGTTTACAAACAAAACCTTACAACAAAAGGTTGTACGTTGATTGTTTGAATGGGGAAACTGATACAGAGCAGAAGGCTGTTAATTACCGGTTGAGCCTCTTCTGTTTAATGAGCTGAATAGTAAAGTGGAAACCATTTTGCTTGAGGCATCCAAAGTTATAATTTATTTAACAGTGTCATTAACCCTGTTATTAAGAGCTCAGTCCCCCTTATTACATTTCAAAACCCAAACAAACTGGGCTGGGTTTCCCATAAGCTTTGCAAGTCTAAGTAGATCGCAGAAACCACTGGCACAAATGATCGATTTAGGATGCTTTTGGGAAATGCAGTCTTGATTCCTTTTAATTATTCTAGCAAAAAGATCACAGACTTTGTCACTTGTCCGGTATATGTCAAAAATAAACCTTTTTCTTTTCTTTTTTTTGCTTTGTGAATCTTTGTGGATTTCAAAATCTAGTATAACCAACCACTTTTGCATTTTGACAGTGTAAAAATGTATTTGTGTTTTATATGCAAGGTTGCCTAATGATTTTAAAGCTTATTTTGTATTTCTTGCCTTTAGTGTTCTCATCTCTTCATCTCCAGACTGAAACCTTTCCTCCATCACAATGGCAGCGGTAAGAAAAGTATTTTGAATGTAAAGAGAGGTTTAAAATAAAAAAAATAATGTATTGCACATCTACCATTACATTTCCCATACGGGCAGTTATAAAAATACACTGTTACCGTCATCTTGCTATTTACCATTTGCATGAGCACGTCTGAAACACTGACGCGTTTATTCACGCTTCTAGCTAATTCAAAGGCAATTTATTTTATCACATATTTGTAGTAAAATGAAAGTTGCTTTCTCTCATTAATTCTCATTTTGCTTTGCCAGTAAGAAATCTGGATTTTGTAAACCTTTTGATATAAAGGCTTCTGCTTAAATGCGTCAACTTAGTTTTGTAGACAAATAGACATTGTGTAAATTTTCTCAAATAATGGGAAAATAGTTCTGTGGAAAAACATCACGATAGAGAATGAGTACACTACTGTTCAGAAGTTTGGGGTCAGTACGATTTTTTTAAAAGAAATTAATACTTTCATTCAGTAAGGATGCATTAAATTGATCAACAGTGATAGTAAAGACATTTATAATGTTACAAAACGATTCGATTTCAAACAAATGCTGTTCTTTTGAATTTTATATTCATCTAAGGATCCTGCAAAAAATCATTTCCACAAATATTAAGCAGCACAACGGTTTTCAACATTGACAATAATTTATTATTATAATAAATAATAATAATAAATAATTATATTATTATAATACATTTTGAAATATACTAAAATAGAAAACAGTTATTTGAAATTGTAATAATATTACTGTTTTTACTATATTTTTGATCAAATAAATGCAGCCTTGGTCAGCAGAAGGGTCTTAAAAGCATTAAAAAAAATCTTAGCTTTGTGTGTCCAAGATTTTGAGTGATACTCTAAATTTAATTTTTCACATTTCTGTTTTTCCTTTGACACAATCTGATCTTAAAAATATGTGAGTTGTCAAGCAGCCCTGTGACAGCAACTCTAAATTTATAGGTGTCAGTTTACACTTCTCTGTGTAAAGGTGCTGTTCTCTCTTCTTTTTGGTGTAGTTGGGCAACCGTGGAACCGTGACTGAGGCATCAGGCTTCAAGCCAGAGGAAGATGCCCAGAAAATCTATGGTGCTATGAAAGGAGCTGGTAAGTGATCAGACAAATCAGAATCGGACTTTGAGATGAGCATATTTACATGATCACATTTTCGGCCCATTTGAATAAAATGAGAATCACCCCCTGGTTACATTTTAAATGATGTCTAAGCATTCATTCCTCATTAAGTGTCTTAACAGGCAGATCAGAGAACTAAATCGCACTTCATTTCCAGTTAAAATTGCAAGCTGTTATCAGCACTGACACCTCAGCTGGGCTTTGATCAAAAAAAG